ATTAAAGTTCATGTGCGTGTAAACGCAGGCCGACAAATACTTTTAGCAATATAGTGTACATGCACACACATACTAGGGTCAATTTAGACAGAAGCCAAAAAACCTACCAGCATGTCTTTGAAATGCACAAAGGAAACTGGAGTACCCAGAGGAAATCCACCCAAGCAAAGGGGAAAACATGCAAACTCCATGTAGATAGTGTCCTGACAAAGGTTTGAACTAGAAAGACAGGACTTGATCAGAAAACTCAGATGCCATGATTCTTCCTGTACATGTTATACAGGGACGCTGTACTTTTTAACAAGGAAACCCAACACTACAGTAGCTTTGCACTAAATGAATGGCTTCAATCTCTGTTACCTGCAAGGAGTGGTGTCCCTTCCTAGTCATTTGCTAATCAGGTCTCTTCACAGCATATTAGTGTGCCATATTACATTTTTACTTAACACAAAATAAATAACATTTTTCAAAATGTATATTTTTTTAGTCTTACATATAATACAAAGATAAAGAAAATACCAGCAAAAAACATATGCTATACATTCTCTTCAATATTTGTCGGTATGTACATACCCAATGACACAATTCCAGTAAATTTCAAACAAATAACTAAACTATAAAATCTGAACAATTTTGTGTTCATAATTTTCAAATTACTTGTTTCCAAGTCCTATTTATATGCTGTTTTGGGTTTTCTAGGTGATGGTGGTGAAGAACCAGACGGTGGTCACGGAATTCCTCCTCTTGGGTTTTGGAGACCTCCATGATCTCAAAATTCTACTTTTTGTCTTCCTTCTGAGTATTTATATTATGGCTTTAACAGGAAACTCCCTTGTCATTGTCTTGGTTATGATCAGTCAGAGTCTTCACTCTCCCATGTACTTCTTTCTGTCCCAGCTGTCCTTGTCTGAGATTCTCTTCACCAGCAATATTCTGCCCGGCATGTTATGGCTAACACTAGCAGGTGGTGGAAAAATATCCATTATCAGATGTTTTTCCCATTTTTATTTGTTAACAGTATGCACCATCACTCAATGCCTACTGCTCACCACCATGTCCCTTGACCGCTACGTGGCCATTTGTAAGCCATTAAATTATACCGTCATTATGACCTTTGGACTTCAACTTCAGATCGTCACGTTATGTTGGTCATCAGGATTTATTTTATCAATTGTACTATTTGGTTTCCTTTATAGGTTAGATTTCTGTGGTCCAGATACTATTAATCATTTTTATTGTGACGTTGGTCCTGTTTTAGAACTTGCATGTTCCGATGTTTCTTCTGTTAAGCTGGTTACCTCCATGTTGTCCACTCCTCTTGTTGTCTGTCCATTTGTGTTCATCCTGGCCACCTATATTTCCATCTTCAACACCATCCTGAAGATCACATCCTCCATCAGGAGAGAGAAAGCCTTCTCTACATGCAGTTCCCACCTCACTGTAGTTTGCCTATACTTTGGCAGCTTGGCATCTATATATGTTTTCTCACCAAAATTTGGTTCTTCCAATACAAAAAAGAATTTGTCTTTAATATATATCTTGGTGACTCCATTATTCAACCCTCTGATCTACAGCTTGAGGAACCAGGATATTAGAGGGGCCATTGCAAAACATATACACCTTTTTGGCACCTGACAATTGCGATAGATACTCCAAATTTAATTTTTATCCACATACAGGACCAATCCATCCAAACTTATATTGCAGTTTTTTGTAGACGTGAAACTACATAACAGTTTCTTGTGCTTCTTAAAAGGAATTTGCAAAATTCTCACTGTTGGTTGATTTATTTTATGAATACAAGAGATGCTGGAACATGCAAACGTGTACAGGAATGCCTAAAACTCTAGGTGGGCAGGAACTTAGTCAGGAATTATGCAGGAGAGCTTGGAATGCTGGCAGGAAGATCTTGCTGTTGGAGTATGCAACACATATAGAAAACCAGGAGATGACTGAATTGTTACTTTTAGGTTGACTGTCCATTAATACAAATAAAAGTTCTTGTTAGGCAATCATCACCTGGCCAGATGTGTACACCCAAGGGGTGGCTAAGCTCTTTCTCCAGTGTTCTTTGACTAAAGTTCTTAGATGTTACTTATAACAGTCTCATATTACAGATATTGGGAGGTGCTGAGACAACGTTTTGATATCAGGCGGGGGGGGGGGGGGGGGTGGTAAAAATTACGTTCTGAATAAAAAATGAAGTCACAGACAACAGTCTTCAGACTCTATCAGACAAATAGTCATTTAGCACGAAGGGACTGACAGAACAAGAAAAGAAATAATAGATATGGTGTGACCAAGATAACTGCTTCATGATTTTTTTTTAATTTAGTAATTGGTTGGAAGTAGGATTTTATTCACAAAAAATTTTTTTTTAAAAAAAAATTAAACTGCTATACTTCTTTTAAAGAATTCAAGAATAGGCAAAAAAAAAAATAACCCACTAGTACACCACCCTACACAAAATACTAAACAGGTAATGCAAATTTGAAAACCCTTACCATTTAGGAGAAAAGTCTAATTTAATTTTCATGACCTCATTTCTGTAATTCAAAAGATAACAGCTCTGCTCTGCCAAGGAGGAGGTGTAACAGCCAGGACTACATCATATCCTCTCCTCTCGCTCTGCAATAAAAGGAAACTACAGTCCCCATCAACCACAGGGAATTATAGTGAATGTGGGCGGGTACACTAGCTCTGTACATATTGAATGTGTCTGAGAGTCTTAGTTTGCCCACCACTGCAAGTGGGGCTGAATGATATCACTGCTTCCTGGAGAAAGAACCACAGAAGGGATGTGCTAACACCAGTGACTGGGAGAATAGGAGGCATAGCAGCCACTGGTCTTAATCTTAAAACTCTTCAAGAGCTGTACAGAAAATGTTCAGCTTTTAATTATATGCTTTAAAGTTTTTATCAAAGAACAAAAAATATCGATATGACTGCATAAGGCCCTGGTGTCCAAATTGTGGTGTGAAGGCTACATGGGGCCCATATAGTGTTTGTTGTGCAGCTCTTGGAAGCCAGCTGTCTGTAGGTTGTGCAGAAGCATTGATTTGTACGGGGGCTCTACTATCAGTGATCTCTAGCTGTCTCATGTAATAAATTCTCAGTCTCCAACTATCCCCAGCATCAGGTATGTTTAATCATCCATGTAGCATGTCTATAGCCTCTTATCAATTCCTGTAATATCACTGCATTCTACAGAGCATTACATTACATTATACTGAAAGAGGAACTCCGGGATAGCCAAAAATCACTCATAGGTACACCCCCTACACAAAACCCAATTTTGAAAATCCTTTCCATTTAGGAGAAAAGTCTAATTGAATTTTCATGACCTCATCTCTGTAAAAGATAACAGCATTTGCTCTGCCAAGGAGGAGGTGTAACAGCTGGGATTACATCATATCCTCTCCTCTCGCTCTGCAATAAAAGGAAACTACCATTCCCATCAGCCACAGGGAATTGTAGTGAATGTGGGTGGGTTAACTAGGCCTGTACATGTTGAATATGTCTAAGATTCTCGGTCCGCCCACCACTGCAAGTGGGGCTGAATGACATCACTGCTTCCTGGAGAAAGAACTACAGAAGGGATGTGCCAAGACCAGTGGCTGGTGGCAAAGGGGGCGTAACAGCCACCGGTCTTAGAAACATGAAACCAGAGAATTAACAGTTTTATTTGAAAATTAATAGGCTATTCCAGAGCAACTACTGAGTGAAGCAAAAATGAGTGACATATGTACAAAGAGAGGGTGCAGCGCTAGTAGATTCAACAGTATTAAAATATCAATGTAAATACACATATAAAGTGACAAAGTGCAAATACATAGGCCACTATATTGTGGTCAAAAAAGTGCTAAAGAGTGTAGACTCAATATATACAGTCCAGAAAGAAGAGGTGCTCTTGAGATTTCCAATGATCTCAGGATGTCTATTGATAATGGATCTGGTGGTAAATAATAAGAATGCGCACTCACCAGATACGCATTATAAATGCGCATAAATAGTAGTAAGCCTCTGGTCATCCAGATGTCATCACAGAATAGGTCTGGTCAGATCAGATCAAATTAAACCTCATTCCCTGGCGGTAATAGTGCTCCTAAGGATTCTCCACTCAATGGATACAGCCTACTCACAGGGGGTCTCCTCACATGGATGTGGATGCTTCTGTGAATATGATTAGCTCCCACAGGAGCTCAGAGAAACAGAGGAGCCCACATAGTGTAGTACTTTTGAAATTAGCGTTTTATTCCATAAGGTAAGTGTACAGACAGTAAAGAGCGTTGCCAAAAAATTCACTGACCGTATAACAGAAAAAAGATGGCTGCCGGGGCCCCTCGTGGCGCCGGCGGCGTAGCGTCACACCTGCTGCAGCTCTCTCTGATGCGTTTCGAGCGACTGCTCATAGTCATAGGGGTTCAGCTGTGCCTAAATAAGTGACATATTCCGTGATGGCAGGAAATCAGCAACAAGGACATGTAAAGAAGTTTTTGCCCGGAGTTCTGCTTTAATTCAAGAAAACATGAACAGAGTGGTAACTAAGCCTTTACCAATTTCCTTCAGGGTTGCTATTTAAATGTAGTTCCTATAATTTCCCAGCATGGGTGTCACTAACGCCAGGCACACTCTTCATCTGTTGTTGAGCATCCTTGGTTGCAAGGCTGTGACCACCTACGTTTGTTCATTAAATTTGGTAATTTGTGCAGCTCCCAGCTTCTGTTCCCCCAGCACCCCCACCATCTGTCAGACCTGTATTACAGACCTGAGAAGGAGTTTTGGAACACAAACCCCAACTTTGTTCAACAGGTGTGACAGGTGGTGGGTGGGCTGGGGGGCGGAGACACATGTGGGCAGCTTCTGAATCACCTACATTTAAAAAAGGATGATAATCATAGATTCTCAACTTGAGGGATGCAGAAGCACAGACCATGCAACCAGTCAGACCTATGGCACATAGAAAAGTTCAACTGAGTACATTTTGGTTAGAGAGCAGGGAATTTGTATTGGGGGGGGAATGTATCTTGGGGGAAATTTGTATAGGAGAGATTGTACTGGAAGGATGAGGAAATTTGTCTGACCCTTTTGTGCTTTGTGTGGTACCTACCAGGGGCGGACTGACCATTCAAGTACTTGGGCACTGCCCAAGGGCCCAGGGTCAGTAGGGGGCCCCATGAGATGCCCCTGGTACCTTTCAAAGGCTTTTTTTGGGTGTGGTTTGAGTGTGGGCGAGGACACAGGGGCCCCATGGTCCCCTATTGCCCGGGGGCCCCATGAGTTGTACGTCCGCCCCGGTACCTACCATTGACTACTGTGCTCTGGACCTTATGTATTTCTGACCCCTGCACTCTGCAATACTGATTTCTGTACTTGATTGTGTCAGGCACTGTTGATCTCTGCACTCTATGCATTTGGTACTTCTGTGCTCTGCATACTTCTGAGCCCTGCTCCCTGTGCATACTCCTCACCACTGCACTCTGCTTTACATACTCCTTACCCCTACACGCTGCTTGTTATATACTTCTGATATCTATGCTCTGTGTGCTGTGTACTCACTACTTAACTCCTGTCATGTGCACTCATACTGCTTACCCCTGCACTGTGTTACATAATGTTGAGCTCTTCAGGCTACAATCTGTCTGTAGGAACTCTATTCATTACATTCTTTTGACCCCTGCACTATATACACTATGTTGTACTGTACATTAAATACTACTGACTCCTGCATATTTTATTCAATGTTATATATAACATACTCCTGACTAGGGAGCAGGGGTGGACTGACAACTCATGGGGCCCCCGGGCAATAAGGGATCATGGGGCCCCTGTGTCCTTGCCCAAACTCAAAAAAGCCTATGAAAAAGGTACCAGGGGGGCATCTCATTGGGCCCCCTACTGACCCCGGGCCCTTGGGCAGTGGCCGAGTTTCCAAATGGTCAGTCCGCCCCTGCTAGGTAGGAGCTATTGGTTTGGTCCAAACCAGGGCTAAATCTAGCTGGCCTGATGTGGGGACGCAGTAAAAAGTGTCAGGGGGCAGAGGATGGGAGGTCACCAGAACAGTGTACAGAAACAGGAATCGGTCGGGCAAAATACAGTTGGTTAGCAGGGCAGTGTCAAATGTGTGGATGGGGGAACCGAGTCTTTTTTTTTCTTTGTTCAACCCGCTGGTTGAACAAAAAAAAAATGACTGATGTATGTGCTGAGCCTACTTTAACCGCCTCCCGCCTGCCATATAAGGAAATTACGGGCGCAAGGCGGTTCTCTCATTCTGGGAGGACGTCATATGATGTCCTGCCACTCTAACTGTGCGTGCGCAACTCCGGGGGCTCACAGCTCAGCGATTGGCGGTGCGCTGTGTCCCTCGGACACAGCAGATCACCAATCAATGGAAAGAGCCAAAGATGTCGGCTCTGTCATGTCCAATCTGTCCAATCACAGCTGATCCCATGTAAATAAAAAAATGCCAGTTATCTGCATTTCTCTACTAGCGAGCTGTCACGCTGACAGAGGAGAGGACAGGAGAGCCGGTAATCGGCATTCCTCAGAGGGGACATGTACACAGATCATCAGGGCACTTAAAGAAGAACTTCATTAAAACCAGAAACAGTGAAGACAATGAACACCTTGATCAGGTCTATGTACAGCATATCAGAGTACAGGGGTTAGGAGTCAGCAATAAACAAAACAACATATAGAGTACAGCAGTCAGGATGGGCACCACATTCACATCAGAGTCCTTCCTTACCCCAAAGTCCCTGGTATTCTCCCTAGATGTCAGAGTTCCCCCTTACATCCATGTCCCCAAAGTTCCACCTTACATCAGTGTCCCCAGAGGGCCACCACCCTACATCAGAGTCCCCCCTTACATCAATGTCACCAAAATCCCACCTTACATCAGTGTCCCCAGAGAGCCAACACCTTACATCAGAGTCCCCCCTTACATAAATGTCCCCAAAGGCACATCTTACATCAGTGTCCCCAGAGGGCCACCACCTTACATCAGAGTCCCCCCTTACATCAATGTCCCCAAAGGCACACCTTACATCAGTGTCCCCAGAGGGCCACCACCTTACATCAGAGTCCCCCCTTACATCAATGTCACCAAAGTCCCACCTTACCTCAGTGTCCCCAGAGGGTCACCACCTTACATCAGAGTCCCCCCTTACATCAATGTCCCCAAAGTCCCACCTTACATCAGTGTCCCCAGAGGGCCACCACCTTACATCAGAGACCCCATTTACATCCATGTCCCCAAAGTTCCACCTTACATCAGTGTCCCCAGAGGGCCAACACCTTACATCAGAGCCACCCCTTTACATCAATGTCCCCAAAGTCCCACCTTACATCAGTGTCCCCAGAGGGCCACCACCTTACATCAGAGTCCCATCTTACAGCACAGTATCGCCCCTTACATCAGAGTCTGGCAGAGTGCCCCCTTACACATACCTTCACCACTGGCAGGTGGCTGGTGTGGAAAGGTTTTAAAAAATCCCCTTGTTTCTGGCTCTGAACTGTACATGCGCAGTTGTGGTGTCAGCCAATTACTGAATTTCCAGGCTCAGCCTAAACTGGTGGGGATGTGGATATAAGTCCTGCACAATAAACGCCATGATGTCACTGTTCAGGCGCACACCTGGACCTGCCCTGCTGCCCGATCTGAGGCCGAACCAGGCAGTTCTCTAATAGGCTTTCTACGGTACTGTGCAAGCGCAGTTCAGAGCTGGACAAGGGGATTTTGTTACGGACACTTTTCTCCTGTCCATGAACATTTATATGCTGGAGAAAAGTGCGTTTTTTTACAAACCATCTGTAAATTTAGCACAGGGCTGGGGGTATACACATGATGCCATTGTGATATTTTATTTTCTGTTTTTGGTACAAATTATACCCTCAGTTGCTTGACCAGTGTAGAAGAGATGTGTTGTCAAATACTAACACCCCCAAACTCATACTTACCAAACTTCCGAAAAACCCCCCATTTCCCAACACTCCCTCCACCAATAAAAGGAGACCACACTTGGTTGGAGTAAAATGGCCTTCACGGCCTTTTATTAACAATTTAACTTAAATATACAGAAAACATTCATTAAAACAGAAACCTCCAAAAACTTACGGAATGAGTTGCTGGTCTAGGCAGGCACCCAAAACAGTATTGATCTCCCCCTGCGGAACCTTCACCTTAATGTTCCTACTAGGCCTCCACCCGCAATGCACCGACTCGGAGACAAGGACACACCTTCCGCAGATAGACCTCCACCTTTCAGTTACACCTCGGTTAACTGGAATTTACCTGTGCACACCATACCACCGATGGGTTCCAACCATACCACCGATGGGTCCCAACCATACCACCGATGGGTCCCAACCATACACTTATCATCACAAACCATTAACAATCTACCAAGACCAACAACTGCCACCAAACTAAACACGCCAAACAGAACAAACACCCCAGGGGAGGGCGGGTGGAAACTTCTCTCTTCAGCTGCTAACCAGCACTGGCTAGTCCGACCCCCAGGCACTCCACCAAGATTCAGGATGATCCCACCCAAACCTACCAACACCAATCAGGTAACCTTACTATCTTTTTTTAACCCTTTTCCTTTAACTTAACCCTTTCCTGTCTTTTCTCCCTCTTCACCTAGTCATGTCTGCCCTGCGCTATTCTCTTTCTTTCCCTACGGGCACCCCTTTCTGGGAGCACAGCACCTGCTTACACAACCTATTCAAGTGAATGGAGCTGCTCTGCAAGAACCCCACAACTGCAACACACGCGGGTCTAGGGGTTAAAGCAGATGGTGAGGAGGTGATACAACAAATACTCTCTGGAGAGTGATCTGAATGCAGATCGCTCTTCAGAGGCCAAAACACATAAACAAGCCCCTAAAGGGATGTGAGGGCTGGTCAGGAAAAGGTTAAAGCAGAGGAATCTCAAACTTGTGAGCAGGGGCGGACTGACAACTCATGGGGCCCCCGGGCAATTGGGGATCATGGGGCCCATGTGTCCTTGCCCAAACTTAAAAAAGCCTATGAAAAAGGTACCAGGGGCATTTCATGGGGCCCCCTACTGACCCTGGGCCCTCGGGCAGTGCCCGAGATTCCAAATGATCAGTCCGCCCCTGCTTGTGAGTTAAAACACCATCAGTTTATCCAGCAGAATCTCTCTCCCAATGCTATCTCCCAATAGTGCTACAGTACTAACTGGACATGAACAGTGTGGGGGAGGGAGAGGAATGGGGAGAGAAGGGAGGGAGAAGTTCAGTTAGGGCCGGTGCGTCCACTAGGCAAACTAGGCAGCCGCTTAGGGTGCACTGCCACCTAGGGACACCTGGGCGCAGCACAGGCCGACACGCTCTCTGTGTGGCCTATGGACCTCTTGTATGAATTCTTCATTTCTCTGTAGAGTCCCCCTCTCCTCATACACAGGGAATGGTGGTATATCTACTCTGCACAATTGTCTCACAGCCTGTCCTTCCTGTGCTCCCCCTAGGATGGGAAGTGATGACATTAGCCCAGGTCCTGGGTGGTCAGCAGTCTCTTATCGGAGGAGCGGTCCGTACATCTCCGGTACACACACTGGCACACACGATCCTGTTGCTGTAACAGGGAGCCAGCTAGTGACCGATTGGGGCATGTCCAGCACTGCCTCTGCCTTCTTCTACACAGCTGGAGCCAATCAATAGGCGGGGGTGTGCTCTAGTCTCAGGGTTAACCCTATGCAGGGGTGGACTGACCATTTGGAAACTCAGGCACTGCCCGAGGGCCCGGGGTCAGTAGGGGGCCCCATGAGATGCCCCTGGTACCTTTTTCATAAGCTTTTTTGAGTTTGGGCAAGGACACAGGGGCCCCATGATCCCCTATGGCCCGGGGGCCCCATGAGTTGTCAGTCCGCCCCTGACTCTATGTGAGTAGGATGGTGGGGGCCCAATGTGTATGAGAGAGAAGCAGTGTAGTGCTGGGAGGCTGGACTTCGCACATAGTACCCCTACTCATTCACAAATAAACACACTTTTTAAGAAAAAAAGTAAAAATTACAAGAAAATGTCCCACAATGTAAATCCATTGTCAAGCACATTATTAAGCAATGCAGATACAAGTCAATC